ATCGTACTCTTCACACACCCCATCCCCCAAACCAAATCAAAGAAACCAAAAAGAAATCACTCCTCATCCAACCCACCCACCCCAACCTCCCCATGCTTCAAACTCCTCGTATCTCCCCGGACACCAGGCCGATCCGTGCCAACCTGATTCCACTTCGCCTCTCCCTCCGCAGGCAACGTATTCCCCGTCCCGGTGACCACCTCACCCGACAAGCCGGGGTCCCTCGGCCCCCGGGGCATCGTGACATCGTTATCGGCAGCGAAGGCCGAAGACGGCTGGCCGAGGCCCATGTTATCGAATCGCCGGTTCGCGGACCGTTGGTCGGGGCGCGGCACGGAGGGAATGGTGTTTTGTTTGCCGGCGTCGTGGGGGATGGTTGTACCCCCGGGCGCCAGTTCTGAGAGGGTGCCGCCTTGGTGGTGGGGGGTGGACATTATTGTCTGGATCTACTATCGATCCTATTGTTGTGTCTTGGGGTCTTGGTTGAGAGAGTGTGATAGAAGTGAAGCGTGGTGTGGTTGTTCGTGGTCAGGTTTTGTGGAGTGGGTTTAGGAGTAAGTAGATTGAGTTATTAGGTTGTTTCTCTGAGTTTCTGGTGCTGGTATGCGTTTATATTAGGGTTGTTGGTCACCATATGTGATGTCAACTTGTTCCATGTTCTGCGGCGGGTGCATGATGGGAGGGATTATGATATCAGGGTTGGGGGCATGGGTGGTTACTATGCAATTGGGACAGGTGTTGTGGGTTCATTACATAAGTGATCTGCGAGGACTTTTAGTATTCGTGGTCATTGGTGAGGAAATGGAGCTGCATTATGGTGATTATGGTGGGAGATGTTGGTGCATGGCTGATGGGGACTCGAGGTGGTTGTATACTCTTTGTAGGGTATGGGGAGTGCACGTGCGCGGTAACCTCGTTGTTATTACTGGAAAAGGGTCATGCACCAACGACGAGGGCTGTTCTGCAATTATGCGATACACGAGTTACTTTAGAGAGACATTGGCAAGGGAACCCGAGACCAGGGTATTACAAGTCTAATTAGGCAAGACGTGTCTTAAAATAATAACTTCATTAACAAGCTTATCATCACAAAAGGTGGATCTGAACGAGAGACATAGGTGGCGACCCTGCACTGATCTTAAGAATACAGCAAATACACGACATGACGCCTCGACATCGAGGGTTCAAGAAAAGGAAAATGACATGACAACATCCCATCTACAACACATAGGCCAACAGACCGATCACTCCGCAAGCGAGAGAAATGACACCGGCACTAGGCGACAGGCTCGCAGCAGCACCCTGGAACATAACTTCATGAGAAGACGGAGAGGGAGGGCCCTGTGCGACGTGAGAGCTGTGCTCCGCGTCGACGCCGACCGGGACGTGCCCAGATGGTGTGGCGGCAGGAGTCTCAGCAACATGGGCACCGCTGCTGGAGTCCCCGGGCACGTAAATGGGGACCACGTGGACGGAGGAGCGGTGGACGGTCTGTGTGGAGGTCAGAGCTCCGTGCTGGTAGGAGGGAGCGTGGGTAGGGCTAGGTGTCATGGCGATGTGAGCCAGCGTTGTGGAGGAAGGCACATCGAAGTGGGAGGCGTCGTCACCGACGGGCTTAGAATGTTCATGGGCAGGAGTAGAAGCGGGCCCATGGGCATTAGCGCTGTGAGACTCCTCATGAGAGGGATCTTCTTCATGGTGGGAGGCATCCACACCGGTGGGCTTGGGGCTCTCTTTGGGGCTGTG